AGATAAACTAGAATTTTCACTGTCCCTCCAGTACTTAAGCAGCTAACACACTGATGCAATGATTGCTTTGTTTAATTTAGGGAAAAATTTTCAGTTTGTATGGTAAGTCTTCACACTGAAGATACTGCGTTTACCCTTGGAAACAAAGGCCAGGGCACTTTTCTCAGGGAATGTCCTTTGCTAGTATATTTTTTCATGCATTTTGTATCAGGCTTTCTCACTTATCATTACACATCAGGTGTGTCTGATTTTATTTAGTGGCTCTCTAATTAACCAGTTTCCAAAAATACACTGTTTTCTTATGCACACACACACACACACACACACGTGTGTGTACACATGTATATATTCAGTTGATCAAGTTTTTAATTAAATTCTCTGAAAGAAATTTGCTGTCCCAAAGGGTAGGCATGTTTTAAGTTTTGCAAACCATGGTCAAATTACCCTGAGTTTACACAACTACTAATGCTACTTGTTTTCAGTATTTTTAACCCTCGCCCAATCTCTTAGGTTAAAACATTTTATTGTTGTTTTCATTTGTCACTAAAAGTGGTGAATATCTTCTCGCATACTAACTGACCATCTGTATTTCTCTTTGTGTGGGTAAATAGCCGAGTTCTACCCCCATTTTCTATTGTCACTTTTCTCCTTTTTTTTGTTTGCAAGTATTTATTAATTAAGGATATGAATCATTTTTCATATATGTTATCTATGTTTCCATTTTATTATTAACTTCATTTATAATCATTTTGCCATATACCAAATAGAACTTAAGGAATCAAACTTACCAGTTTTTCCTTTCTAATTTCTGATTTTCATGTGATACCTATAAAGTCCTCATTTACTCTATTATTTTATAGAAATTCATTTAAATATTCTTCCAGTCCTTTCATGCTTTATCAATAATGACTTTTAGTTCAACATTTTTCTGGGCAGTCTGGTAGACTTTAGTGGATCAAGTGAGCTTTTCATTCTAGAAGCTCATAATCAACTGATACAGACAGATGCAAACATGCTTTCAGTGGTACATGGCTTTAGTGGCAGCTTGGTCCATGTGAGCAAAACCCAGCAAACAAAAGAAGGGAAACCTGTCTCTGGCTGAAGGTGCTGGGAAGAGACCTCATCGAGCAGGTGATGTTTGAGAGAGGAAGAGGAGCTCAGTTCATAGGTTTGATGTCAGAACGGTCAGTGGAAGGTCACCTTGGGAAGAAGCCCCCCAGGGCATGGACTGGAAGAAACGTGACCTCTCTGCAGGAGCGTTCCCAGTGTCCCACGTGGCATCTGATGCAGGGTCTGAAGTCCCTCGTGTTTCATTCTCACCACGACCTAGGAGTTACTGTCTGCACTCTATGTGCAGGAATCTGCCACTCAGACAGTCTCCTCATCTGAAGCCACAGCCAGGAAATGCTGGAAGCCAGACTGGGAACTATTAAGGGCCCCATCACACGTGCTGCCCCCACGAGGTTTCTGAAGCATGGATAATAGGGAAGAAACTAAAGAAACTGAAGCATAGCAATGAAAAATTTTTCATTGCTTAAAAGATGGCTTTAGTGGCATTCCAAAACATGCAGTTTGAGGAAAGAAAGTCAAGGCTTGTGCTTTTCAAACTTGAATGTGCCTAGAATTCACTTGGGATCTTGTTAAAATGCCTGCTCTGACTCAGCAGATCTGACTCTGAAGTCTGGACTTCACACAGGCCACCCCGGGGATGCTGCCGTGGCCCGCAGGCCACCCCAGTGGTGCCACCGTGGCCCGTAGACCACACTTTGGGGAGCAAGACTCCAGGCCTGCACTGTCAAGGGCTCTATTTGATGATGGACACGTTCTTGTTAATTTGAACTCAAACAGCCACATGTGGCTGGTGGCATCCATGTGGACAGAGCAAGTATAGAAAGTGTATTAGAGAACTAGTCTAAATGGGGGATGCTGAGGCCCTGTCGGGACAGAGGAGTGAACAGAATTGAGAAACTTTAGCTGATACACGATAGAAGAGATGTGCTGCGATACATCATATCCCAATTCTGAAAAACCAAATGTCCAAGCATCTATATGTAGCAGACTTCTTTTCAGTCGTCACATCATGATTTTCTTAAATGGCTGAGCTCCCAATTCAAATCCTCTCATGTATTCATCTGTGCTTGGCTCACCTTTACACATGAAAATTCCGCTGAACACAAATGGTAATTTAATGATAATAGTGGTACAGGCTTATCACAACAAATACCTGAACCACTTTTTCTGGGCCCTCATTTACTCCTTCTTTTTCTTCTTTCTCTTCTAAAATAGAAAATCATAAAATGGGCAATAGGCAGCAGTTGTTCACCAAAGAGTAGATAAAAACAAAGAAAGTCTGTTGGTTACTGTTCGCTTCTGCTCCTGTTCAGTTGTGGAATGAGTAGGAATCTTGGTTGGTACGCTTTACTCACAGAAGGCTCTGTTCCTGGATGGAGGATAACCTGAAATTTTGGTGTTATACACATAGAAAAATGCCTAGAAATCTTAGCAAGAAGCATAAACGTCATTGAAACATTATTAAATACAAATCAAAATAAATGTTGGAGTCATTAAGTAACACCGATTACAACTGCAAAAAAGTCATTAACTATATTTCAGTTTAAAAAAAAAGATGTGGTGTACACACACACATATGCACACACAGCGGAATATTACTCAGCCGTGAAAAAAGAAGACATCCTGCCATTGCGACAACAGGAATGGGCCTTGACCACATTCTGCTGAGGCAGATAAGTCAGGTAGAGAAAGACCAGTACTGTATGATCTCACTTACGTGTGGAATCTAAAAAACAAAGTTAAACTAGTAATAAAACAGAGTAAAATGAGTTACCAGGGGTTGGGGGCTGGGAAGGAAGGGACTGACAGGGTTTAAGGGTACAGACTTATAATGAGCAATAAATAAGCCACAGAGATCTAATAGCAGTATAATGAATTTAGTCAATGATACTGTAGTATAGTGATGATAAGATAAATATTTCAATGGCAATGATAATATATAAATGTATTAAAGTAACATGCTGTACACCCTAAATTTACAAATTGTATGCCAAATTCATCAAATAAAAATAATTTTAAAGTGAAAAAAATATGCAGCAAAGTCAAGCTTCAAATAGCGCCATCATGGACATGTAACTGTATAGTACTAGGCAGGGTGTGCAAATTCAAGTGATTTCTCATGTAGCGTAGCACCTAAAGTTTGTGCACATATTCTGCAAATTTAAGGCAAACTAGAACAAAGGACAGCCTTATCAAATTATATTATGCTACTGTATTTGCTCAATTTTTGGCCTGCTTTATCCCAACCAATAATTCATCTGACAACATTTTTTCTCTTACAACTTTATGGAGATCTAATCTCTATACCATGCAGTTCACCCATTGAAAGTGTCCAGTTCAGTGGCGTTTAGTTTTGCAACCATCACCTCTATCAGTTTTAGAATATTTCCACTATTCCCCAAAAAGAAACCCTGGATCCTTAAACAGTCACTTCCCATTTGCCTCCAAACCCCTCCATAGTTTTCTTTTTTCTCCCACAAAACTCTGAACTTTTAAGGGACTGGTTTGTTAGTTCATTTTCCCATGACAAGAACTAAGTCAGCGTTGTTTTTCTTATGAACTCCTGACATAAGCTACTAACCAAAGAATTACTTGCATTTCCAATATTCTTTCTCATTTGAAAACACACATATGTAGCTATTTATTTCCTTTGAACAGCTGCTTCCAACTGATTCCTAAAATAGATGTTGTCATATGTCTGCTAGAAAGGCTGTTTAGCAACATAAGCGTTCCCTAGATCTAGCAAAACATAACCTGTCGAATCCAGGTTCATTGCTGTTATGATTCCATAGCAGCTGTCTGTCCTACCTCTGTGTCTATTTGCATTTTATGAACATTTCTACCTCTCTGCGTACCTTGAAATTGATTACGGTACTAGCTATATATATGCAACTCAGGATCAGGGGGAAAAAAATGTGCCAGCCCTTTATGCTTCATGAAAAATCAACCATTTAAATATATATGGCAAAGTAAAATGTGTTGTGACATTCTTTTTTCTTTTTGGACACGTCTTTGTAATAAAAGTGCTGTTTTATTGGGTTATAGAGCACAGCCAAGCAATGAATTATATGCCATTTTTCACGTCAGCCTCTTCTCTTAACTCCTATTGTTGCATTACATTCAGAAAACGCATTTTATCTGAGATGGAATGGTAACATTTTAATAATACTAATGTGATTTCATCACACAGTACAAAAAATACATTGCCTGTATTTTAGAAGATTGAAAATTATAAACTAAACAGTTTAAATCAATATACCCATATTTTATTTTATCCTTAGATACATGAAATTAAGAACATATTTAAACCCTATTCAGTGGTGAATGAAGGCTCAGAATAAATCATTTCCTTCTAGAAGAGGAGGAAAACAGTAATATGAAAAAGCATACTACTGCAGGACTCTGAATCTATAAATTCAAAAAGGAGAAAATCCACTAAAAACCCATTGTAGATATTTGTACTTGTACCCTGTTAAGGGCACTTTGTAGGGATGAAATCGTGCTTTTATATATATATATATATTTAATATATGTATTACTATTGTACATTATATATGTATAATTGTATTATAATCTCCCCAGTACCTACAGAAATTTTTTCTTGTCATGTTTACAATCTCTCCTGACTTTCAATATGAATCCTATTAACTTGTAGAAATTATTAGTTTTCTATGTCTACCATATCATATAGAAATCAAAAAAAAAATAAGACTGAGGTGACTTAAAATTCAGGTCATTCAATGGCCAACTCTGTACAATCATATCAGTGATTTCTGAATTGAACCTAAAATGCATATTGGGACTCTCAGTTTTTTTGATATTAAAAATATTTTCTGCTTTTTAATAGCACAACATAAAAACATTATAGTTTTGAGTTTATCCTAATACTTATTTATTACTGTACATAAAAAAGAAATCACTATCAAATTCAAGAAATTCAACAAAGGTATAGGAAGTATGTTCTTCTCACCTCTCCAGAAATAATTCATTTTACTCTTAGCTTGATGTGAGGGCAGCTAAAGTAAATAATATATGAGAAATATTATAGTTAAACAGACTGTTACCATTCAAATACGAAAATCTTTCTGACTTGAAAAACATTCAAGGGCAGCAACAATAAGAAATACCTTTAAAGTCAGCTGAACTTCAGTTTGTGCCAGACAAGTATCTTGTCCTTGAAATGCAATGCTGTTTTCTCTGTTTTAGGCTATCATTACTGCAGAATGTAGCAACATCTCCTGACTAATGACAAGTGGAAAGCGTAATACAATATTTACCATTTCAGTGCTACATTGCATAAATATTTAATTGGTGTTGTATATGTCATTTGCTTTTACATTAGTGGTACTGAGAGCAGTATGTTCTGAGAGAAATGTCTACCTACAGCAGAGTGAAAGAAAAAGTATTTGTCAGATATAAGATTTTTAAAAAACCTTGATAGATGGTGAGGAATTTTAGGCATGAATTCGGCATAAACATTAAGTTCCATTGAATCTGTATTTAAAGACAGAATATAGAATATAACAGATAAAATGAAAATGTGCATAGGCTCTTACTTTATTGGTCCTAAGTAATCTTAGAATGTCTGTGGACTACTAAGACTTGTCCTTATTCCTTATAAATAAGATTCCATGATTTCTTCCTTAGTAACTTAGTAATATAACATGAGAAAGGGAAGTGACTGTTCATCCATCATTCATTCAACATCTGTTTATTAAGTGGCAATATTTATTTGTTGAGACAATATAATAGATAGAGCAGTGAACCAGATAACCCAGTCCTTGCCTTCTTAGAGATTATATCTCAGAGAATGCAAACAGAGCATTTAATTATAATCATGATGATATTTAAAAGGAATAATGTGGAAGTCTAGGAGATGTATGAAAAGCAGAACTTATAGAGTTTGAGCATTAAAGCAGGGTTTTCCTGCTGAAACCAAAATAATAACCAGGTTTATATGTTTTGACAAATGCTGACATAAGGACAAATTTTAAGTGGGGTCAACTAAATGTGGCCCAAAAAAATCAATTCTCAGGAATATTAAAACATATAATAAAGATCAAATCTAGATATCTGAGAAACACACAGGTTATAATATTCATTCATTTCCTTTGTTGAGTCAGACTAGTTAGAACCCTTTCTGTAGTTGATATCAGGATATAAAAAGAAATATAAGTTTGGAAATTTGGGGTAACTAGGTTTAAAACTGCCACAAGAGTTTATAGTCTGTTTCTGTTTGTTCCTTTCCATTAATTTTAAACATACCTACATGCTTTAAGAATTTTATTTGTAAAGTATACCCAACTGTTGAAAGGAATGATAGGTCTCTGGATTCTTTACAAACATTTATAAATACATTTTTAAAACATATGCTTTTTCTATATTTCAAAAATTTGGGGAAGATAAAAACCATGTTTCTCTGACTTGTCAACCAAAGAGGTCAGCATATCCAATTCCCATTGTTTAACTGGATCTAGAAGTAGAAAACATTAGTTCAAAACCATTCCATTGTGTACTTTAAGTACACATTACATACTGAATCAAAGAACAATTATATTTTTTACCCATTTCTGTATAGTACTAAGGTGTTTTCTGAGAAAATACTTCGTGCTTTTAAAGATCTTTCCTCTCTACCTGTTGTATTTCATCATTGGTGATTCACCAGGTTTCCAGAAATGGGACTGATGCTTCCTGGTGGCTTTCGCTGTCAGCAAGCCTGGCGGGCCATTCGCTGGCTCTCTCCTAGGATTGTCTTTTCTCGCTAATACTTCAGCCACAGGCGATTCCCTTCCATCTGCTCCTCCACTACTGAGCTCTTCCTCCCCGTGACCGCTCTCCACAGGCCTCCTTCTGCCCCTTAAGGAGGGCAAGCCTTCTACCTGTTGTCCTACATTTCCCCGGATGGTGGAAGAGCTCCCAAGGCTGCCTAGACTCGTCCACGTGACTCGAGAATGTGGCCCCTTGATGCTGAGAAAAAAATGATACAAGTAATTTCACATCTTGCAGATTTTTGTTTTTCACAGGCATTACCTTTTATTTATTCCTGATATCATAGCCAATTCAGTTCCATTAAACAAAGCAATTACTGAATATCCCTCCTAAACACTGGATTCACAAAGATGAGGATGATGTAATCCTCACTGCAATGATTTCGCAACCTTATCTGAGAAAATATAATGTCAAATTTGCACAGCACATAACAATATACCCTTAAAATGCTGTTTATAAGTGCAGATCCTCAAAGCAGGAAGATTTGACTTTGTATCCCAGCCCTCCCGCCCACGCGCTACATAATCACGAGAAGGTTGCTTAAACTTCCATAAAGCTGAATTTACTCATGTGTGTCAACAGGATTAGTCATAGTACAGCTCTAGGAAATATTTTTATAAATAGTTGATGTGCCTGGTCAAATGTAAATGCTCAATTAATTTTAGCTGCTATTATATTCCTTTTAACACCCTAGTAAATCAAGTATTATTACCCACAATTTTTAGAAAGAAAAATCTTAGGCCCAGAGAATCAGTGACATATCCAGTGTTGTCGTAAGTACGTATTAAACCAGGGGCCATATTGCAGGACACCTTATTTTGAATCCAGAGCTTTTCCCCCACTATATCAGAGGGCATCGGTTCTCCTAAGATGTAAGAATTTACAGGGGGAAGCTGGACAGGAGAATAAATAAGATTGAATAACAAAATGAGAAATCTGTCCCCTTTGAATTCTTACTCTATAATATCTGATTATGTCATGGGGAAGTTCTCGGTAAATGTTAGCAAGTCCACCTGCCTTTAACACTTCTTCTGCAAATGAACAATTTTGCCGGCAGTCCTTTCTACGCAGACTTCAGTAACGTTGTTTACAGTATACTCCATTTATTCCTCCCATTTAGAAGCTACTGGTTTTTCCCTTCAGGTCAGGCTTGAAAATTTTCAAATAAATGTATCTAAATGTTTAAGTCAGTAGTATCAAGGGAAAAATAAATACAAACTGTAAAAATATTTATAAAATAACACCATTGATGATTCAATGTCATAAAATTGATAAGCACACTTTTTTTTTAACCTACAGGACTCTGAGGGAAGTCTCACTGGGGAGGGGACAGGAGACTGCAGGTCTTTCTTTAGGGTTTTTTCATTTCATTCTAGATCCGTAATCTCATGAACTGCCTTGTGGTTGTAACAAGCTAATAGTGTAGTTAGTGAATCTAGGTGAGTTACCTAGAATTTGTTCATACAACCTAGCCATCTTATTTCAATCATTTCAAATAATCACAAATCATACCATTTTCTGTTTTTAGAGTAGAGATATTTTTAGATGCTTTTTACTTCTTCAAAGAAGTTCTTTTATGATCTTAGGAAAGGATCACATAGAGAGACGCCATGCATGTTGAAAGTGGGAAAATGGGCCGTTTATTTTTAGGAAAGGAGACAGACCACCGAACACAAAAGCAAGTTGGCCATGTGAACAAGTCTCCTGGGGAGTCAGAGAAGACGCGCTGCGTTTGTATTTTGCTTTGAAATAAATGTCCTCGAGTGATGGATAAATAACCATTAATAATAGGTAAGATAAGTTCATAACTAAGTGAAACTGTGCTCCAGTGACCCCAGGTTAATGAGGAGTGGATGGGACCCTGGCTCGCTGCAACCTTTCCCACCTTGCCTGAGGAGGTAAGGTGGTCAAGGTTCACTCATGTTGTCCTTCTGACTTACCATCACCTCCTGGGTTCCAGATGCGCTGAAGTGGATTCCACATCATTCTGCTGGTCACATGCCACAGAGCTGAAGTTTCTGTCGATGATGAATAATAAACCACAGGAGAGTTGTACTAGATTCCGGAAGGGTCTTTGATTTTTTTTTTTTTTACCATTAAGGAATGGTAAAAAGTATAGCTTTTTCTTATTGAAGTTTAGTTGATATATAATATTCTCTTGGCTTCAGATGTACAACATAATGATTCAACAGTTACATACATTACTAAATGCTCACCACGAATGTAGTTGATTTTGTTTAAATTTGCTGTTTGACGACCACACGTGCACACACACTCTCACGAGTCACATTCTCTCTCTCAAATGTAATGTCTTAGCGAAGAAGTGGACTTTTGTAAAGGGGATGTTGTAAAGGGAATGCTTTTCTGGGTTTTGCCATATTTTACTATCCCAGCCTTCCTAATAGTTGGATCTTTTAATAATGATTAAAGTATCTTAAATTCCAAAGATTTTTAATTTTCAAGTGTATTCTACTTTTTCAAAAACCCAAAACCAAGAAAAAAGTTTATGCTTAAGTAGGTCATTAACATACATGCACATGTGTTATATAAAAGTAGGGTAGAGCTCTTAGACCTCTTAACAGAAGAGAGGAATCCAGACGAAAATTGTATCAATACATGCCTTTGAATAATGGAGATCCGTAGGGTTTCAACGGCAAAGCTCCTAATATTTGTCACTAATGAATCCTGTTACATACATATCATGATAACAGTGAACTCCGTATTTTGGCAAGCAGGGACTAGCCTATAAATCACGCAAATGATTTCATTCTGTATTTCGAATGTACTTGAAATAGGTCCTCTTACCATATTCTTTAATGTTGACAACTGTTACCTAAGAGCTTCTCTAGATTATCGATAATGACTGGCCCCTTTGGGCAACTGATCATGATGGTAAACACTTTGTTCTTCCCATCAGATTGGAGAATGCTTCCTTCTTCCATCCAGAGAATAGAACCTGGACATAAGATAAAACTAATAAAATATTAGGCAAACAGTCTGTTTTAGAAATCTCGACTTAATTCCCTCGGTGACAGAAACAAGGTTATGATTTTCATAAGCCTCTGTCAGCTTCAACACTGGCTGTCAGTGGGCAGCTGGAATCACTGTTTCCTAAGCAACACCCTTAAGCATGTTACACTGAATCTACACAGTTAAGAAGGGGAAAAAAATGCAGTGCCATGTGAAAGGAGCATTTTTTTAATATTATTATTTATAAAAGAGTATGAGTCCAATCACTGGCAAAAAAAAACCTACGTAAGTAAATTGCCATGTAATCTCATCAAGACATTCTGATAGCCCAGGTGATTCTGTGCCTTCCCATAAATGCCAAAAAGGGATAGAAAAGAAAAGTGCCCAGCATAGAAATATAAATGATCAGCAGCCATCCCTTACCTCCTTGCCCCCTTCCCACAAAAAAACAACCTGTTAGTTCTTAAAGCCTGTGATTTCAGTATGTTAGCTTATAATCCGCAGAGGAACTTGCTATATCAAGTGTTAGTTCCTTTGAATATCAAAACATCCTATAGTGGGGGTAGCTCTCTTTTTCTTAATGACATCTTGAGTCCATATCAATACGAAAGCTTTCAAGAGACATTGATTTTAAAATCATCATATTTGGGTCAGCAAGGTATAGCTGGTGAAATTATATTAGCCTTAAACGTTAATAACAAATAATAGTGGATTAGAATGCCAAAATATTGCCGAACACATTCTGTCAACATGTATGTGAACACAGCAGGAAAGCCAAAACAAAGCTAATTTATGGAAAACTATGTATTCCTAATGACAGTTTAGACCAGTAGGGGTCCAAGTTACAAAGTGCAATCTTTCCATGAGATTCTTTCATTTTACATTGAAAACTTGGTTGTATTCCGAAAACATGTTTCAAATCAAATCATTGCCCTATATTTAAGAGTATTTTTCTTGTATTTTTTTCCTGGAAGATCTTATCATTGCACACGGGCATCATGTATATTTATGTATTCATGAAATTGAAACATAAAATGACAAAATTTTGCCTCAAAATGCAAGACGCCCAAAGAAGTCATGCATAAAATGCTAGTCTTACCCCATGCAATGTATTTTGCCTGAAAATAAGAAAAAGGAACAACACTATTATTCTAATATGTTGCTGTCCTACTGATGTGAGATGTTTTTTCCTACGCTCCATGATTTAGCCTACATATTTATATTTTAAGATATATTGACATACATAAAATATAAATCTGGAAGAGACCTTAGAGATTATGTAGTACAAACTCTTCTTATTTTTATATAAATGAGAGATATAAGCCTCCAGGCATCCCCTAGGTAGAGCCAGAATTGAGAATGGGGCGCAGGGTCTCTCTTAATGCGAACAAAAGCTCTGCAAGATGCCGCAACCCATGTTGAAAATTGTGCTCTTAACTATACAAGATCAGATTACGATTTTCTTTCCCTGTAACTTCTGATAACGTTCTTAAGCAACCTTTCACAGAAAGATTAGTTTGGGGAAAAGGTACCGTGAATTACCTTAGACGTGAGGTGAATTACAAGAAAGCAAACCTTGAGACCTCAGCTTGCATAGATGAACTTTCAAGATTTTGGAGGCTAAACAAAGCTGAATTGCATTTTCACAATGATATATTTTTTAAGTCAGTTTTTCTCACCAGATTCTGGTTCTCATATTATCTCCTTTTTTTCTTCTGTCTTTGTGAGTATGTTTGCTTGATCTTGTCATAATAAATAGCATTTAGCCAGTAATGGCAGGCATGCTAAGAACTATCTGCCAGGCTGCCAAAACCTCAGAGTGCACCCTCCAGGGTTCTGGTGGTGTAAGCTACGTTCAGGTTTCTGATGGCAAGGGTGCTCGCTTCTGCGTTCGCCTCACAACAGCCCCTGTAATTTGCTCCAAGGTTCTGGCAGATTGCTGGACCGTGTCACCAGCTGTCGCCACCCTTCCTTCCCATCCATATTTGGCAGTATCTGAGAACACAAGCGTGCCAATAGAAATAATAGTAGCTGTGATAACAACGTCAGTGGCACGGTCCCCAGAGACTAGATCACAATTTGGCACCTTTACTCTCAACATGGAACTAAAAACGGCACTGAATTTCCTCCTTGCTGGTGTATAATTTTCTTTAATTACACATTTTGGTTTCAAGTGTGCCACATGATGGCTTTGAAGTATCAAACCAACATATATTAGTTAAAAACAATGGCATGCCCTTTTTTCTATGGGGATGAGGTGAAATAACTACAACACCATGGCTTCCTTTCTGCTCCATCAGCCTTGACAAATAAAAGGAATATATGCCATAATTTCTTTTATTCGAGTGGTCTTTGAGTCTGAAAGAAAATGTCTTCGTAAAATTTCACTGATAGATCTTTACCAGCATCTTGTCTCAAAATTATTTCAATTTCTGAGGTATTTTTCTTACCATTTCCTGGGAAACCTACAGAGGAAAACCTGAAATGTTGTAGTACAATGAATGCTTTGAATTCTGGAAGAAATATGTCATTTTAAATATCTTTAAATTGGTTGCCATCTTAAGAATACAACAGGACACCCTAAAAAGATGTAGTCTAGAGTAGGCTCTTTGACTATTAGTAGCATAGGTTGCAGGAGTGATCGATGGTTTAACATCCATGTGAGTTGCTCCTAAAATTGATATCAACATCATATATTTTATCATTGACTTGGATGATTGAATAAAAAGTACGCTCTTTAATTTTATCAATGACACAGGTCAGCTATTACAACTAATTTAAAAGGGTGCTGACTGGCAGTCTATGTTCTACTCTGAGAAAAAAGGAGGAATTATACTGGGTGTCATCCCAGGCTTTCTTCTGACTGTTAACAGTTTCAGATTCTCCGTCCATCACGCTTATTATTCAGGAACCAGTTCAGCTACAGAGAGTCAGGCCTTGAAGATCAACTCTAAGCAGAATATCAAAAAACTGAATTGTAAATTGAACTTTTCACTTAACTGCCCTCTCCCATTTTTCCATAGCCACAATCCTATGCATTTATCCCCTTGCCTCCCAAACTCATCTTCAACTTTCCCATGTAAGCACCTATTTGAACCCCTAGCCTCAAAGATCCATCTCTGCTTCTCTCATAAGCCCCTACTCCTCACACTCCAGGACGTAAAAAGCTCACTCATACTTAAGGTAGGATGTTTTAAGTAAAAATCCAAAATGCTGCATCAATGCAGAATAGCATTAATGCCAGAAGGACATCATGAGGAAATGTCATTTGAACTAGACTTGAAGGGGTTGGCGAAATTTTATCAGGCAGAGTGTGGGGGGGAGCATCCCCAAAACCAGGAATTATAGGAACAAAAGCATAGAAGCAGGAAAATGAAGGGCATAATTGAAATGGTTGGACAAGCAAATCTGGCCAGCCTCACGGGGTCTGCAGTATATGCACATTGCTGTGCCACAGCGACCCGGAGTGTCTCCATCTTGCAAAACTGAAGCTCTGTTTCCATTAAACAACAACTTGCCCATTTCCCCTACCCATGGCCCCTGATAACCACCATTCTCCTCTCTGTGTCTATGAATTTGTCTGCTTCAGAAATCCCGTATCAGTGGAATCAAACGCTATTTGTCTTTTTGTGACTGGCGTATTTAACTTAACATTATGTGCTCAAGGCTCATCCATGTTGTAGCATGTGGCAAGATTTCTTTCCCTTTAAAACCTGAATAGTATTCCATGTGTGTAAATTCCACCTTCCCTTTACCCGTTCTTCTCTCAGTGGACATTAGGGGTGCTTCTACCCCTTGGCTGTTTTGAATAGTGCTGCCTGAACATGGGTGTGCAGATATCTCATTGAGACCCTGCTTTCAAATCTGGATCATGTGGTAGTTCTGGTTTTACTGTCTTACGGGGCTGCTCTACTCTTTTCCATCATGGTTGCATTATTTTACGATCTCACCAACTGTGCATGAAGGTTCCCATTTCTCCACAGCCTCACCAAGACATAATATTTTTAAACTGCACATCAATAGGGGAAGGCCTCGGGCTGACAGCTATTAACCCATGCATGAGTTTGTTTAATCGTGTTGCCTTCCTTCTAACTTCCAACAGTTTACAAGCCAGCCTTACTTCACCCTTCCCTTGACCTCCACCTGACTGAGTCACTTACCGTTCCTCTGTACCAGGTCTGTCCTCTGTATGTGCATTTATTCTGGTTGTCTCGGGGGCTGTACCGTAGGTTGTCATAATTGCCTCACCCGCAGCCTTATGGGAAGCCTTGTAGGGAGAATTTGTACTCATGCCTTTTGGGACTGTATGTATTTCTATTGGTTATATAGACAGACTTCTATAGACCAGCTGAAGACTTAGCCACCACTTTGTGATTAAAAACCCACTAAGATTGTTAATCTCCTGGCCAGGAGGGTTTAGGGAAGTAAAAACATACATTCTTTAGCTATGCTTTGTGTTAGGTGGACTACTTGTAACCAAGATTCTTAACTGAAGTATACACTTAGGAAAGTGCACAGATTGTGAGTGAACTCACTAGTGGAAACCTCCCAGATACAAACGACATCACCAGCACTCTGGCAGTCCCCGTGGCCTCTGCCAGTCATACCCGCCCCTCTTCCCAGGGGTGATCACTGTGGCCACTCCTGCTTCTACCAGTTGATTTTACCTGCTTTTGAACTTCATTATGCATCGACTTGCACAGTATTCATGTGCTCTTGTAAATGGGTTCTTTTGCTCAGTATTATATTTGTGAAATTTGTCCGTATATATCTGCCGGTGGTTGGCTCATTTACACTGCTGTATACAATTCCATTGTACAACTATACTGTAATTTGTTTATCCTTCTTACTGTTGGCAGACATCTGTCTTGTTTCCAGTTTGAGGCTATGACAAATAATGCTTCTGTGAACATTTGTGTTCTTGCCTTTCGGTGCTATGTGTATACATATTTCTCTTGGATACGCAGACAGAATCTTGTAGACCAACTGAGGACTTAACCACCACTTGGTGACTAAAAATCCCCGGAGATTGTTAATATAGAGAAATTGTAATGTAAAGAAAATACATTCCAATTCTAACAAGCAACTTAAAAATGATTTTGCAAAACAAAGCCATGTATAGTTGGTACACATCTTGTATTTGGAAGCCAGTTTTTATGGGTAGACCACTTCTGACAATATTTGCTACTGTGACAAAAGAAAGAAATTAACAATTTGTGTTAAAATCTTTTCAGTTTCTTTAATATGAACATTCAGTTGTAATTCCAAACAAATCAGGTAAGTAGGAAAACGGCACAGTATAGAAAAAGGAATCCAGAAATAGGATCAGGAAATCTGCTGTCACGTGTCCTCTTTACACACTAACTTTTTAAAGACATTGGGTAAGTCCCTGACTCTCTCTGCCTATGTCCCATCTCCATAAAAAAGGGATAATGATCCATGTCCCACACACATTGTTGGAAAATAGTAGACATCAAGGTATCTTAAAATATGAAAAACACACTGAACAGACATATAATTTGAGTGTTATCATTCACAAATTCCATTTTTCCTTGAATAGCATTTTGGATATAAATCCAGCCCCCCTCATTAAGGCCACATAGAAATACCTGAAGATAATCATGGAAAGCTATGAAACATGATATCAGAAGTAGAAATTTTTTTGAAGATAAAGTACATGTGACTATTATGTATAATGCCTTTAAAATACACCAATACAATGTTTAATTATGTAATTTTTAAGTTGTTTTTAAGACTCTTGGAATTGCCTCTTCTTAACCTTAGCATCATCATAATATTACTGTAAGAATTTATTTTAAGGCAATATAATATAGAGGGAAAATGCTTGTATGGAAGCATAATGCCCGACATACACAAATGTTACCTATAATAACTTGTCTACCCTCCATCCCCAAATACTGTGTCTGCCTTCGGTTTCCTAGATCTAGTAGAGGAACAGTATCTGTAGCCTAGGGCCTCACAGAAGTTCCATTTCACTTCCTGTGGATTTTCACGTTCCACTGCCCTCGGGGAGGTTAGAGAGGTGTGTCCTGGTGGGCCGTTTGGTATCAGAAGGTCTGGGGTTAAGGTCATGCTCCACTGCTTACCACCCTGAAACCTTAAACTCTTTAAAAGCCTCCATTTTCTCAGATTGAAAATGAAAAGAAACAACTCTTCAGTGACATTTTTGTAAAGATTAAATGAGATAATGCTGGCAAAGCATTAGCACAACGCTTGACACATAGTAAGGCCTCGGGCCCCTTCTGGCCACTCATCCCACACACCCCACTAGGTCATGCAGAACCCGAGGACCCACGTGCCGCTCGTGAACAATGACAGCAGAAGCCTTCCATGGGTTCAAATCTACTTTCCAGCTCTGGCCTTGAAGACACTGGGTTCATCCTTCCTTATTTAGATGTCTTTTTTTTTAATCTCACTAATTTTCCCTTTATTTGTCTGCCAAGACGTCCCATGCAGTTTATTACACCAGCGCTCGGTAATTTCTGGAGCATTCCTGGCTCCTACGAGTTTACTGCCTCTCTGTCTCTTGAACTTTGGAATAAACCTCACCAACGCCCTGTATTTGTGTAAAACCCTGAAGTTACACATAACAAGTGTCAGGAGCTTCACTAAATACCAAACGCCAACATTTTCAACATACGTAATATCCTAAGACCAAACACTTGTTGGGTGCTGTTTTCAATGCAGTGTTAAACACTTATAATATTATGGTTCTCATTATGTGGCGTCTTAAGTAGAACTGGAATCCCATTTTGCTGAGATTTTCTGTAATAAAAAATATTTAATAAAGCCATTGCCCATCTGGCCAAAAAAAAAAAAAAAAAACTCTCC